GAAAATACAACATTTCAAAATTTATGAGATATAGTGAAAGCAGTGTTTAATGGAAAACATAAAAACAAACACTAATATTAGAAGAGAAGAAAGGTCTCAACTCAATAATATAAACTCTAATTCAAGAAACTTGAAAAAGAAGAGAAAAATAAACCCAAAGCAGAAGAAAGAAAATAAGACAAGAAATAATGAAGTTGAAAACAGAAAGACAATAGATTAAAAACACTAAAACCAAAAAGTTGAGCTGGTTCTTTGAAGCTAATAAAATTGGTAAATCTCTAGCAAGACTGATGGTGTAAAACAGAGAAGATACAGGTTACTAATGTCAGGAATGAATCAGAGGATATTACAGATCTCAGAGACATTGAAAGAATAAGGGAAACTCCAAACAACTCTACTTACATAAATTCCAAAACTTTGATAAAATTAACCAATTACTCAAAAACCACAACTTACAAAAACTTACCCAAGATAAACTAGATCCTCTTAATAGTCCAATAACTATTAAAGAAACTGAATTTATAATTAAAGGGCTCCCAAAGAGGAAATATCCAGGCCCAAATTTCACTAGCAAATTTTACCAAACATTTAATAAAAAATAATATCAATCACACATAATTTTTCTCTCAGGATAGAAAGGACACCACACACAAAGCATAAATACAGAAGTCACACTAAGGATCACTAACAGGATTTCCAAGATGAAAATGATCACACATGATAACTATCAATATCATCTCACAATGGTATAAAGGTTTAACCCCCATTTGTTTTAAACTGTAGTTTTCTTCTTATCTGAGTCCACAGCTTTTGTCTATAGAATTCCATTTAGTCTGATCAGTTTAGTTATTATAAGCAATCCTTCAGTGAAGCCTTCATTTCAGCATTTATATGTGTGTGTGCGTGTGTATCTCTATGCTATGCATGTGTGTGTGCTTGTATGTATGCTTTTTTATATTTCTGTGGAAAAGATTTATAGAAATCTTTTTCTAGAAAGGGTAAGTGCCTTAAAGTTAAATAAATTAGAATGGGCAAATTGCTCTCTAAATATATTATATCAATTTATACTACCACCAGAAGGGAAAAAAATTATTTCCCTGCTATTTCACGAGCACTGATTATTATTAATCATTTGAATCTTTGCTGAACAGATAGCTGATAAATAATATCATTGTTTCAATTCACAAGTATTTTATTAGAGAGGCTGCACATTTTATAGCTGTTAAATGTCTGTGAATTGCCTACACTCTTTGCCAAAGTGGGGAGGGCTTAATCTCACTCATTAACTTTTAAGTATTATATTATTAGGGTTATTAAGCCTTTGTCATGTGTTGAAAAATTTTTTTAAATTTGTCTTTTTTAAAATATAAATTTTATCTTAGTTAAAATTTTAAATCTGAGCTTTACATTATGGTTTTAAAATAAATTATTTTCATAACAACTACCCAAACTTGGACTACTTTCTACTGTTTTGATCAATTTGGCTCATATTTCACAGTCTGAATAAAAATCACCTCCTCTGTAACATATTAACAGTCTTTCACATGCACAGTAAATTGTTCCTCTTTTATGTACCTTAAAGAATACATACACCTGTATGACTACTTTTCACAAGTAATTTTATACACCCTTGCCTTTATACTATATTACGGTTTCTTCGAGGCTAGAGGTCATGATTTGTTCACCTGTATCATAAAAAAACCAGCACGTAGTAAATGCCAAAGAAATGCTTTTGGCTAGACCTAGTATGTAAAAATAAAATCTTATATAAATCTTGGGCCATATAAGATGCATGGCACTGTGTTAGGAGCTGTGGCATAAGCCATTCCAAATACAAATACACTACTGCTCTTTTGGTAAGTAGAGCTGAGGAGTCTTCACATATATCTGGACTGCTACAGTAAGAATTTACAAAAATGGATAGTGTTGGATAATTACCATTCAAATTCCTAGGGAAAAATTTAATTCGATAAAACAGGGCTTCTATCAAAGTATAAAGAATAAACAAATGCAAAATTAATAATTATGTAGCTTCCAGCAATCATTTCAGGAGAGCGCTGAGGTGTCAACATCGTTATCCACCTCTTGACACATGATAGACACGCTTAGACAGTTTACGAATAATGCAAAGCTGAGATATAAAGTCGTATATCAGACATCAGAATCAAGAGCCAACAAGGGCCTTGCTAATCCAAGGCAGCACATTCTTCAGTGACATTAAAGTCATTCCGATGAGGAAGGCATACACTCTCTACAATCCAAATTTCCTTTGTTAATAATCAGAAAAACGTATCGTGATCCCATTTCATGACTAGATGTTAAGGTGAAGGGCATATCAAAAATCAACACAAACGGGGTGACATTCTCAATGTCAAGATTTCTGTCCTTAACATGACTTGTTGTTTCATGTCTACAGATTCATATTTCTTGCATAGTAAAAGAATGTTTGGCTGGGGTCCCAATTTTTTTAATATTATATTCAAGGGGAAAGGAATTTATGTGCAGAGTTTTGGAACTATATAGCTATTAACCTATACACAGGAAAGTTAAAAGTATGCTACCAAGTAATGGAATGAAAGAGCTCCACACCAGCGGCAGCAGCTGTCACTTTAGAAGGATGAGGAATCTCAGAGGATCCCAGCTCTTACTCTCCAAACCAGAATACTAGTTTCTACACCCTGAGCAAGTCCACCATTTGGCCACTCCTGTTGCTTGGAACTATTGTTTTTATCTAGTCTCATCTATGTGGCCTTCACATGTGGACGTATATGAGCATATTGGAATAGTTCTAAGACTAAGTTACACCCAGGAGTCATATAGAACTGTAATCTATTAGCAATGTTTCAGTTCTTTGGAAACAAAAATAAGGCAGCCACGGATAGGCAAAATTTTTTACTTTAATCAAGTTCATTCTTACTCTATTTGTATATTTCTTTCAATACAGTTGTTTCTCATTTTCTATTTTTTACTTCAAAAATTCCTGAGGGCCTATATGCCAAACATTGTAACAAATACTGGACATGACAAAATATGGTCCCTGTACCTTTTAAAGACAGAGAAATAAACAACTATAATATTGTGTAATAAATAACATGACTAAAAATATACCTAGGGTTGCTTCAGAGGAATGGGCTCTAATTCTGACTGGTGGAAAACAGTGATACAAAAATTTTTCCCAGAGCGGGTAGGATAAACTGGGAGTTGAAGGATGGATAGAAATTGACTGGAGAGGAGAAAAAAAATGGGATGTTCTCAAGGAGAAAATCTCTAATAAAACCAAGAAGCAAGAAATAGCATGGCATGTTAAAAATACTTCATTATGTAAAAATATAATAACAGGGACTGTAAATGAAAAGGCTTGATTCTCAATTTTAAACTTTATAACTTCTGCTTGATTTTATGAGTCCAAGAGTCAAAACACAAAATCTCTGGAAACAATATGTGAAGATAGGTTTGCCCAGGAAGGTGCTACCTATCAATTTAAGAGGCAATATTATTTAGCGAATTGGAGATATTTCTAAGTCACTGTCAAATCAGAATTTATACACATTTATACTCAATAATAATACATTTCAAGGCCTTAAATGTCCTGTCCCTTGAATTTATGTCAGCTTTTTTTCAGTAGCTCAAGGATAACTGAGAACTGTATTCATATTAGAATGGAAGGAGCCAGTGAAGAAGAATATTTTTCCCTTATCAATATAGTGACAAAGCATCCGTGTATTTGCAAAGTTACAACTTTCCATTTTTAAAATTTTTCTTTATCATTGACAGTATTACAGATGTTCCCCCCTTTTCCCCCCTTTCTCCCCCTCCACCCAGCCTCCTCCCTGCCCCAGACCTTCCCCACACTCTAGTCTGTGTCCATGGGCTATGCTTATATGCATATAAGTTCTTTGGTTAATCTCTGTCCCATTTCCCCACTTCAGCTTCTCCCAATAATAAAATGTACAGTTCATAGCGAAAAGTACACTGTGAAAATTCCTGTAAACTCTTGCACTAGACAAGAAAGGCAAGACACACCAAAACATCTACTTAAGTCCTTTCATTTGAACCATTCCTTACTATACAGTAATTTGACACCCCCCCATACCCCAAAAAAGGCAAAGTGTTTCTAAATCTGTCTCTTTAATCACATCAGCAGACACTCTATGACACTCCACCCTCTTTCTAGTTCTTTCCCCCTCCCCATCTTTCTAGAAGTCTTTTTTGTTTGTTTGTTTTTAATTTTTATAGAAAAGCAGCAGGACTTCTATGGTAAATACGTTTCTTTTAAATGTAGGGGGAAAAAAAGAAAGAAAGGAAGGAAGAAAACTCACCAGCATTATGGACTGCACAAATACAAGACATTTTATCTAAACATCTCAGAAAAGTATTTTACTCTCATTAACTTATTATACTCCTTAGCTGTCTGGGAGGTAAGTGGCATGTAAGGTCTCACCATTTTATGGATGAGAAACTGAGGCCTAAGGTCATAAGTGACTCAGTGGTAAAGCCAAAAGAAAGCTTGTTACTCATATTTGTTATCTTCTTTCCCCCTGTTCTATTATTAGGGAATGAAATGTGGGTTCTGAGAGAATTTACTTTATCTTCCTTCATTAAAAAAGGGCAGCTCGGTGAGACAGGCAGCCTGCCACAGTGGAAGGTGCTTTGAACAGAATTCAGGTCTAGACTTTGGTTCTGTCTCCCCGGCAAAACCTTGGGCTGCTACCATCCTCTCTAAATCAAAATAGAGACAAAGAACAATTCAGATAAAGGATGTAAGAAGTTATTTCCAAGTCCCCACACCCATCAGTGTAAACATGTGCATTATGCAGAGTTGAGGCAGGCCCAGAATCCACAAGCTCCTGAATGTCTCTCTCCTGAGCACATTGGCTCACTTTCCAATGGCCTTGCCCATTCAGAGCCACCTGCCTTTTCATAGCCATGAAAAAGAGGGGGGGCGACAGAGGTTTGGACAGCATGGCTCACACATTAGAGGAGAGGCACATGCCACTCACCCACATGGGGTCACTCAGGTCCGAGTCTTGCATGCGGATACAATCCATGCTAATCTCAATCTTGTTTGTTGCTCCATTTTCTGATGGTTCATCTACAAAGTTCAGGTCAATGGGCTGAACTGAACATATGGGCCTACCATAAAGAAATAACAAGCAAAAAACAACAACAAAAAAGTTTGTTAGGAGTGGAAAGGGACTTAAAGTGCACTCACCTAGTTGGTAACCCTGAGCTCTTTCTGCCTCAAAGTTAGCAAGGCTCAGTAGTTAGAGTCAGAAACCCTAGTTTTAAATCCTGGCTTAATTGTTTACCAGATATGCAATCGCAGGCAGTTCAAACCTAAGCCCTATTTGTAAAACATGAATTATAAATCCTGCCCCCATCAAAGAATTACTGGGTGGAACATCGGAAAGAACAAATGTATCAGAGATAGACTATTTTATTACTCTATCCTTTAGGGCCCCCAGTGCTCTGATATTCTTTCACCTTCCCTTTAATTTACTCATTTATCCAATCCAAATCTTCAGAAGGGAGATAATAACCCTGCTCCCAGCAAGGCATAAATTTAATGTTTTACTTTCTCAGCGGGGTATTTGCATTTTAAGAATAAATAAGAGCCTTTAAGCCAAAGGGACAGACCTTGAATATCAGGGAGTTGTTGGGGAAGTTATTTGGGGTTGGGCAGGAGATCCCTTCTGATCTTCCAAAACTACACCACATTGGAATAATAATGATCTTTTGGTGTTGGAAAATGAATAAATTTCCACTGCATTTTGAACACAGAGATACTATTGGAGAAATAAATGTTTCCAACAAAATTAACTGATTTTAATTGATTTTAGAAATATGTCTTACTAATGCAATATTGTGTCCATTCACATTTATCTATTTATACTAGTTCAATTACAATATTTTTTGGCTGATTTGATACTTACTGTTCCAGAAAATCCCAGATATGCTGGAAAACCTCTGGACTGAGGAATTCACTTGTCTGTGTGCTCTGGGACATGGTGGATCGATAATAACTTTCTTTCCAAGAGAAATGAGCTGGGGTTTCTACAAACCTTAAAAGGACAAAAGTGAAACTAGGATTATAGTTTCTGTATTTATAGCACAAAATATTTAAAGCAAATCATACTTGATTACAAAGAAAAGTCAACTTTCTTCAAAATTATGTAGGCATATAAAGTAAGTTTTACAAGTTGCACAACTGTGTTTCTTCAGGTAGTGTCACGGATCTCATTTTGCAATAAAATCAGACAATCATGTCTTCTATCGAAGCTCTTCTTTTTATCTCATAATGTTATTACACCTTCCATTTCTACTATCCAACATCTATGTTCTGCATATTTCAAAAAGAAAATAAACATTCCCTCATTAAGTCTGACAGCAAGTCCGACCTATTATTAAACCCATTTTATAAATGTCTTAACTGATTATCTGCTCATTCAGCCTTAAGCAAGTAAAAAGTAGAATTAGAAAACAGAAGCAAGTTCAGAAACTTAAATTTCACCCTCAGCATAATCACCCCTCTCATAACTACCATCTTAGCATCACGCCCAGGGACAATAAACTCAAGTTTCTGAACCTAGACTTTTTTTCTTAATCACTGGTTACCACTTTGATGTGTGTGTGTGGGTGGCTTTTAATTGGAGTGTGGAATTCTAGTTAGACCAAAGAATAAGCAAACAGCGAATATGTTGTAAATGAACCCTATTTCCGTTTGCTTCATTTGGTTGCTGGACCCTCAAGTTTGCCTTTATGTTAAAAAAAAAGAAAATTAACCTTGATCCCTGTATATGTGAAGGAAAGCATCAGACTTCTCAGGTGATGCTTTTTCCAAATATGCAAGTTATCTGCACAGATCATCTTAGTATGTAGTTCATTGTCATTGTTAGTAGACTAATTTTATCCCAGGATGAAATTAGCTAGGCTGTTAATCATTACTTTTATTGTTACAAAGAATTAAGTAAATAGTATACTAGTATAGTCAATCATTTTAAATTTGCAAATGAATGCTCTGGTCTAGTTTCATAATAGAAGATAACAGCATTGAATTTATTGTTCATGATTTCAAAGCTATATGGAAAAGCACTTTTATTTACTCAAGTCCAACATATATAGAGAGGATCTAATATTTGCCAGGAAGTATAATGGGCACTGGAAATAAAATAAAGAAAGTGAATGAGAGGCTCTCACCCTCTAGAAGATTATGGTGTAGAGGGAAGACAGGAAAACAAACCTCTAATAAATGTAGTAAAAATGTATAAATGCAGTAACGGAACAAAGATGAAATATATCACCTCATCTGAGGGGTTAAGAAAAGATCCTTAAATGATGAAGATAAATTAGCAAGGCCAGGTAAGGACTACTGGTATGAGTGAGCAGTCTATGACCATAGCATAAACAAAATACTGAAATAGAAAATAACTTGATTTAAGTAAGACAATTACATGTAACTAAAGGTTGGTATAGTACAAAAATGTGGGCAGACAATGCTGGAAGATAAAGTTGAAGAGGGTAGTAAAAATTTGTATGCTACATTAAAATAAAGCTTAAATACTTCAATATTTCTCATGAGTATTGAAGAATACTTTTGCAAGGTATTTTTAAATAAACTTTTTATTTTGAGATTACTGTAGATTTACATGCAGTTATACTAAATACCCTTTATCCAATTTCCCCAAGGGTAACATCTTGCAAAACTACCATGCAATATCAAAACCAGGATATTTACATTGATACAACCCACTGATCTTATTCAGATATTCTTATTTTATTTTATAGAACTAAATATACACAAATGAGCATGTGTATGTATTTATATGTATTTAGTTATATAAGATTTTTTATCACATATGTAGGTTAGTATATCCACCTCTACAGTATTAAAGGATTTGAAGAGTGGGATTGACACAGTCAGAATATGTTTTATATTGATATATCTGAAAGTTGTGTGAAGGACGGATTTAGAGCGAAGCAGTTTATAGGCAAAACGGTTATGTAGGAGGTTGCTGCACCAGTCCAGGTAAAGCAACAGGATCATAGCAGAAGTGGGGATACAGAAGATGGGGGCAAATTCAATTACTAGTGAAAAGGTTAAATCAAATACTGTTTATGTTACTAATGCAGGGAGAAGGAAGAGTTAAAGATGACTTCAAGTTTCCAGCTTTCTTGGACTGAGTGGTTGATGGCTCCATGAACTAAATTAGTGAATGCAGTTGGAAGATCTGGTTGAAAGAGAAAGGAGAGATGATGAGTTCCACCTTAGCATGCTGAGTTGAGGTACCTACAGGATATATAAAAAGTGGAACAGACAGTTGAATAAACTTAAACTCTAGGAAGGTGAGTAGATCAGAAGTTGAGAAGCAGAAATCTTTATCATAAGGTAAAATGAACCCGTGAGAGTGGATATAATGACCTATGCACAGCAGGGACAATGAGGAGAGGAAGGGCCCTATTTGGAGAATCTAAGGACTAACAAGTTTACGAGAAGGCACTGAGAAGTTCATGGATCTTAGAAGCCAAAGGAAAAACATATTTAAAAAGGATCAACACTCTTGAATGTGGCAGAGGCATCCAGGAAGATAAGGCCTGAGAACCATCTACAGGTTTGATCCAAGCTGGTCATTGGAACCCTTGACACTAACACTTTCCATAGATAATGAATGAAAGCCCAAAGTAAACTTTAGTGGTTTGGGAAGTAAATAGGGGTGAAAGGAAAATGTTATTTTGATACATTTGGATGAGAAGAACTTGAATTATACTTAAAAAGGTAAAACAGAAAGGAAGCAGCCAGTAGGGAGAGAGAGAAGTTTAAGATCCTGGAAAGAAAGGGAATGGCCTGGAGGATGGTCCTGAAAGAAGAGAATAGGTTGAGATAATAGCCTTGAACTTAAGCCACTAAGCCCTTCATTCCAGGATGAAATAAAGAANATAGATTGAGATAATAGCCTTGAACTTAAGCCACTAAGCCCTTCATTCCAGGATGAAATAAAGAAGACAAAATTAAGGGTAGATATAAATGTGTTTACAAATATGGAAGTGAAGACATGAATTAGTCAACCCCCAAAGTGCAAATGAACTCTCTATGAATTGTAATGTACGTGGACACACAAGTACATCCAAAAACCTAAACACTACAATTGGGAGCCTGATAGCCAGGTGAGCACTAGAATGTCAACACGTTTTCCCTCTAGTTTCTCTCTGACTCCTATAACACCTTTCCTGTACTTTGGATGCCACCACTAACCAGTTGGAAAACCCTGGACAAACCTCCAACTCCAGGAACTTTAGCTTCCTTGACTGTGACCTCTGCTCTGCAGACTCTTAAGAGCTACCCAATCCTCAGAGCTCTCCTCCCACAAAGTATATCCTGGCCCCTTATTTGAAATATAGCCTTTTTTCTTTAAACTGTGTGCATCTTTAGCTACATCTCATCAATGCTAGGTTATCCTATTTTGGTTGTATAACAACTGATGTATTATAGAGGATTTTAACAAATTTGAGGGCAAAGCTCACGTCTCTCATTTTTACATTTCTTACAGTTTGATAGTTCCTGGAAGTTAGAGTAAAAGGAACATTGGTTTTGGAGTGAGACAGACTTGAGTTCAAATCCTAGCTCTACTACTAACATACCGTGAGGCCATGCCCAGTTACTTATCCTTTTTGTACCTTACTTGTTTTTCAACTATGCTTCCTTCGTACAGTGGTTGAGAGGTTTACTTGAAATAAGGTGCCTAGTAGTCAATATATTGGTCCTATTTGTATCAAGTACTATATAATTTGTATCCAGAGAATACTTACTAAACTAAGCTCAACTAATGAAATAGAACATCTGAAAGTTCTGTTAAAGATTTAAAAGTGTCACACAAAATAAATTAATTATATTAAATTGGAATTATCCTTCATTTCTCTCCAGTTCAGATCATTCTTCCTCTATCTGTGTCCTTGGATGAAACAAATGACCTCTCACTTTTTTTTTAGATGAACTTTGTCTCAGGCCTGCTACATTAAGTTGGGCCACTTTCCCTCTCAGGGATTCAAGTTTCAAGGGGGGGTTATTATAAAAGGTGGAGGTGGAGTTTGGTACAGCTCAATGGTTTTCATATTGTGTTTCACAAAACCGTAGGGTTCCCAATGCCTCTGTGTTCACCAGATGTAGACAAATGGCAATACTGGTAGGACTCCAAACACCCCTCCTTCTTAATACCATGAAGTTTGGCTTTTGCTTGTCTCAGGGTTCTGAGCAAGATTTCATTTGTGAAAGGATTTTGTTAAAAATAAAAAAATCAATGGTCTAGGTTAGGGGATCTTCAAAGTCTCTTCTTTGCAAACTCAGCTTGTATTCTCATTTTCTGAATAAATATGTAAAACATTATTGGGAGAAAGGAAGGAAAGAAATCAGCTGATGCCATAGGGCAGGAAGAGTGAGATAAATCCTACCTACCTTCTAAAGCTTTGCCTTTGGGGGAATCTCAGTATCAGTTTACCCACAGGACAATCACTCTGTTCACATGATTTGTCAAACCAGTCATACCCAATATAATAGGAAGCCTGAAGTCAATTTTTTTCAGCTTTTTTTCCCTAGATTAACTATCCTACAGTTTTTGTATTAACTCAGAAAAAAAAAAAAATCCCCCAAACAATAACAACCTTATTCTTTGTAGAAATTACCTGAAAACACAAAGGAGCATCTGCTAACAGTTTGCATACCCTCTCGCTTTTCCTGCTCTGCCCTAAAAGTCATCACTCAAGTTTGCCTTACATGTAATTTCTTTCAGCACTCCTGAAATATCTCCAAATCTCTCAAATTTCAGAATTCAAAACAACCTTAGCTTTATAGTTGGATTTTAGAATTAATAGATTTCAGAGATCATTGACTTAGTTCTTCTAATTTAAGAGATAAAAATGCTGAAATCTAAACAGAACTGGTCCACTCTAGCTACACTTTATTCAACATAGGTCTTTATACATAGTCCTATATGAATAGATTTGTGTACCAGACAGTAGTTCCCATTATGAATTATCCAACTTATGGTCTATTGTAGCAGTTTCCAGATTT